TTTAGTAATATTATAACTAACATTATTATGTTATAAATTATAGTTTCTCATCTAATGGATATAAATATTTAGATTTTTATATTTAATATAAAGTAATAAGTAACTTCTCACAATAATCATATCTTTGGAATTTTTTTGAAATTTGGATGTCAAATATACACACACAATAATTATTTCTTTGTATGATTTTTGGGCTACTATATATTTGAAAATATAAAATTCTGTTTATTTATTTAAAATAGTGACTCATAACATTCACAATACTAATATAATTAAGTCAATATTTTAATAATAAATAGAGAAAATAAAATTAATATTTACCTTTTAAATATGGAGCATCATCTTTCGTTTAATACGCCTTATCTACCTGCTCTACCAGTTCTGCCAATTATGTGGATATAATTTATAACTAAATTTATTCCTTTGAAATACATACCACAGGCCATTAATTCTGTAGTTATTAAACCCATATTTTCCTTTTTGGTTTATAAAAATAAAATTTTTAATAATTATTTGAATAAAAAAAATAATCAAGTGCATGCATGAAATCTATAAAAAAGAATTTGCAGTTTCACAGGAGTAGTTGTGTTGTATAATATTGAATATTCCAATTTCTTGTAACAATCACATTCCCAATTTGTGCCTATATCAGGCTTTATTGTTAATGTGCATCAACAATTATGCATCTGCTGAAAAGGGTCGGCTTAGGAATGAATGAAATAGACATTTTTTCATAATTCAATGAGAAGGTAGATTAATCGCCAATAGAAAAAACAGGCGTGTGACACGCGACTTGTTAAAAGACTGGAAAGTGCTTGGTTAATTGTCCTAACTGATGATGATTTCAGAGTCTTTTGATAAAATTTCTTTATTAGTCTTTCAAAAAATTATTAATCACCAATTTCTTCATCTATTAAAATCTGACCAATTTTATCATTAGAATAGCTATTATATACCATTGTTTTATTGATTATTCCCATAAACTCAATGATGATCCCTTTCTTTAAAGCATACAATAATTTGTAATAAGATCGAAATTTGAACAACCTTAATATTAATTCGGTTAAAGTATACAAAGGGTGTAAAGCAAGTTATAACATACTTTTTAACTATTTTTCAATACATGCAAAAAGAAACTAGGGAATATTAACAGCCTTCGCTGTCAACCAGGCAGCAGGCTCATTCTTTTTTTTGAGTTTGATGTTTGCGGTTAACAATTCTGAGTAATTTGAATTCCAAAAATTTTTCTTGTGACATTATTCCAATATTTTTGTCTAGTGTTATCTCATTATGGAAAAACATAATCGATAAAATTTTTTCTGTTAAAAATAATTTATTTAAAATCAAAAATATATATACTGTATTTCTAAAAAAAATAATATATTCAATAAAATAGAAATACATATAAAATTTAAAATTATTATACATTCATCGTTTACCTATATTTCATAAAATTTACAAAAAAAATTTAATATTACATATATATATATATAAGCTAAAAAAAAATTCAAAATTATAAAGTTCAATTTGATATTAATATTCCTTGAATCTTTTCTCTGGACTTATCAGCAAATTGTCTGGCCGATATTGCTACTACAATAACAGGAAATATATACATCGTATAGAGTAAAGACACCACCACAGAGGAAACAACTGTGATATCATCATATACTATTTTTATCATAAATACAACAAATATATTAAAGAATGAGATAATTTAGTAATTTATATTATTATTTATTATTATAATTTTCTCTATCTTTAAAATAATATCCAACTTTACCTCTGTAAAAAATGACATGTGGAAGAGATTTTAATGGAGGAGAATTTGGATCGTAGGGTGCCTTTATATATATTACAAAGAATTAGCTTTTTCAACAATAAATTTTTTTTAAAAAAATCTGTAATTGATTTATATAACTTACCTTTTCTTTTTCATTACTAATTTTTTAGTAAAAAAAATATTAATGATATAAAATCTATAAATTATGAATGAAATACTAATTATTAATTTAAAAAAAACTTACGTTTTCTCTATGATTTGACATTTCATAACTTTTATTTCATTTTCATGTTCATTCATTCTGGTTGATAGTGTGTTAATTAGTTCTTCAACTTTATTAAGATATTCAGATTGCTTTTGTTGTGTCTCCATCATTACTTCAAATGATGGCATTGTAGCAATTTTATCCGTTTGTTCTTTAACAGTGGATTCCAGCGTAGCATTAAGAGTCAGAAGTGATTTGTTTGAAATTTGAAGATCGAGAAACTATAAATATATAAATGTATAATGTTAGAGATGCGAATAATTTATTATTAATAATATAATAATGTTAATAATAATAATAATAATAATTTGTTATTACCTTTCTTTGGACCTTTGGATCAGACGATAAACTCATCAATTCATCCAACTCAGCTTGATCATTATCTTCATTTTCATCGTCGTCTTCACAATCGTCATCAGACTTATCATCATCATCATCATCACCATCATCATCACCATCATTATTATTACTATTATGATTATCCTCCTCATAATCATAATCATCATAATCATCATCATCACTCCTTGAGTCGGAATAATTTTGGTCTGTAAAATTGTTAGATTTTAATTGTGCTGAAATTTTAACTTTTCTTGGTTTAACGGTTGTTGTTATTGCCGAAGTTGTTCTGGTTTGCGTGTGATTGTTGTTATTATCAAAATCTATTATAGCATTGGCTGCAACCTTAGGTCTAGGTGGTTTAGCCTCACCGTATAAAAAAGGTTGATTTTGATGATTAGGATAATAATTTTCATTGTCGTTGATTGTTAATGTTGGCAAATGAGAAGAAAAGTTAAACGGTTGTTTTTGATATTGTTGTTGTTGTTGCTGTTGTTGTGTATTGTACGCATAAGGACCCGGATCACTAATATTTGTTAATTCAGTACGAGTGTCATGTGGACGATACGTAACATCAGATAAAGCTCTAGGAGAAGCATTTAATGGTGATTTGGCAACAATTCTAGAGTTGAATTGATTAATATTATTATTATATTGTGAATTATTATTATATTGATATTGGTGTTGGAATTGAGGAGAAAGAGATGGTTGGTATTGTGGTAGTGGTGGCTGTTGATGTTGCTGATATTGTAGTGGTGGAGTGGATTGAGATTTAAATTCAATAACAGATTTCGCTTTGACTTTTGGTTTTGAAAGAGTATTTTGATCTTTATTACCACTGTAAATCACTTCAGAACGACTTTTTGATGATTTGTTATTATTATTATTATCATCTTGAATTTTCATTTGAGCAAAAGCCTTTGAATTTTTAAGTATTGATTTTGTCTCAATAAAAGAGTCATTAGTATTTTGTCTAAATCCACTTTCAACTCCCATATTTTTTTGGTTAAAATTAAGAAAAGTTGTTACACGAGTTTTAAAATTTTCAACATATTAATATATTCTTTGTTAAATATGATGTTTTTATTATTATTATCATTAAAATATTTTAAAGCAAAAAATTATATTTTCTAATACTTTCTTTTTCGTTGTTATTTATATCAATGAAAACATTATCAGATAATTGTCAATTGATGCCATCATCAATACATTTTTTGCTGTTGAATAATATTAATAATATGCACGTAAATAAATAAAAGTAAAAAACATAATTACAGCTTCGCTCTCCAAATCTTCTCTCAATTATAAAATAATATCTGAAACATTCTAAGAACTCAAAATATTTAAATCGATAATGAAAAAAGTGACTGACATAGCAATTTTTCTAACTCTCAAATTTTAGCCTTATATTATTATCAATTACTTATACAACAAGTTTATATCTTACGACCCCAAGGTAATTTTTTGTCTCGTTAAGTAAATTTAATATTGTGTTGCAAGCTTTTATTTTTTTCTATATACGCATGAGTGAATGTCTCAATGGTAATGATTCTAGGATGTTTGCGTTAGAGTAAATCAAACTATTTTTTTTATATCAATCCCGAAATATGCGATAAAAGAAAATAAGTTCAAGACGATACGATGTACAGCGTATGTATAATTAATTTGGCATGACAATTTCTCTATTTAGTAAAAAAATCATCATCTTTATGCTAAAATCGCGTGTATTTTTAGTTTCGTTACAATAGAAACGTCAGAGAAAAAGATATTATGACAGAACTTTTTAGTTGCAAACACTGTATATATTTTGCTAAATAGTGCTGATATGTCTTGCAGTGCATGCATATTTTGAGTTGGATTGATGATGGCTTCTGATTGTTGTAATTGACTGTCGGTGATACCCTAATATTAATCATGACTGGTTCAAAGGAATGTAAATGTTTTCCAGCATAAATACTAGAAACTACAGAACTCTGAAATGCGCTTTGTTGATAAGAAGCCATTTTTGATTAATTAGTTGTTATGCTAAATAAAATTTAGAATATTTTATTATTAAAGTTGGAAATTTGCCGCTGGAAAACAAAAAACAAAAAACTTTTTGTTGTGCGCATTAAAAGAGTTGTCGCTGTTGGCGATATTTGCTTATTATGAAGGTTTTCTTGCCCACAGTATACCCAAGTGATGTAATGAATTAATCTGGCGTGGGATTTTGTTGTTTGAGAAAGTTCTGTTTCCACTTGGTTTATGCCACCAACAGTTTTACAGTCTTCAAGCTACCTTTAGTTTTTTTCGCAGAAATTTTAGAAATATAAAACTAAATACCAAAGCTATAATTTAGTAACCATATAAAATAACCCTTTTCTTCTTTCCTGGTTTCGAGGTATGGTTCTTATATTCTGCAGATTTCCTTTCAAAATTTATCCTTTTTTTACACTGGCTTTCGCATGATAAATATTAAGAGCTTGTAAATATTCCGTTGTAGCATAATCAGGTAAAACATAGTAATAGATAGAGTTTATCCGGTAACGATTTATGGATCTCCTCAATAATGATAGGTGACGTCGTCAACAAATATAGCAATATTTTCTTTGATATAATCCTACCTTGTAGGTCATGGCATCTTTTCTTCCTCATTAGAAGGAGGTAATTCCAACTGCTACATAATCAATATTATAGATTTGGGGTTGTGTGGACCAATTGATGAAAAATCATCAAACAAAATCTATGGGATTGCAACATATATTACACTTGAGCTACTTGGAGGCAAAAAAAAAAAAAACACAAAGAAAACGGGATATTTACAGCATTAGTATTGTGGAGGTAAGTAGTATTAGACTTATTCGTGTGTAAATTTGGGAGTATTAAAAATAGTTTAATTTAAAAATAGAGTTTTTCAAATGTTACTATCAACTAGGTGAGTTAAAAGAAAGTAATGGCAAGATAATAATATATCTCCCACGTATACTATTTGTTCTACCTATTCTTTGTGGAAGTCATATCAAAATGAGGGAGCTTGTTTGGTATTTTATGAAGATGATCAATTCATTATTGAGAATAAATAAAGAAACCTTTTCGTCTTTTGGAGATAATGGAGAAGTCAGTATTAAACAATATTTTATTTATCATTTAGTGACAAAATATTAAATCTTAATATATGCTATTAAATTTATTATTATTATTGTATTATTTAACACAGAATATTATTATTTAATTAATTAGTAAAGTAAAGATTGGACAATTAATAATTTAAAAGATAATTTTCTAAATTTTCTAAATTTTATAATAATATTATCAATATAGTAATACAGATAACAAATGATAAAGAATGTAAATGCAAAATAATTGATAAAATGATTAATGTTCTTCTAGATGTTAATCTATCTAAAATTTTCCTATAAAATATAACGAAAGAGAAGTCGATATTTGTATTATTCGACGATGTAAATGTAAAATGATTTATAAAATGATTAAGGTTTTTCTATTTTAGATGTTAATCTATCTAAAGCTTTCCTATAAAATATAGCGAAAGAAGAGTCGATCTTTGTATTATCTGAGGAAGTGGATATTACTCTGGAAGCCAATCTCTCAAAAGCTTGTATATAATATATTGGACAATTTCTCCAAGTTATTGATCCGATTAAAGCAAGTTTTTTCATAAATTGTGAATAAAATTCTTTGTGATCACGCTCAATTTTATCTTGTAAAGTTAATAAGAACAAATAGAATGCGCCAGAGTTTACATGTCCTTGCTTCTTATATTTCTTTACTAATTTCTTTATGAATTTTTCAGTAGGCACTTCGATGACTATTTCACAACCATTTGGAAATGTAGCAGTGACAAAGTTTGGTGTTATTTCTTTTTCAGATTTAGTGAATGGGAAGATATGGCTTTCTCTTCTTAGGTTTAACCTGGATAAGATTTTGTGAAAGTTGTTACGTTGGTGGTGTTTACGATATTCAGACATTTTTGTATAGTTTAAAATTTATAAAATTTATATAATAATAATAATATTTATAGCTCCTATATCGCATTGTTTTTTTTTTATCAAAATACGAAAGAGTGTATTATGTATGTGATAGATGATAATTTCTTTTTTTTTTTTTTTTTAATAAAAAAAATTTAAAGGAAAATTTGTTTAAAAAAATTATTTAGATCAAGCACACTTTATGTGTTTTTTTACATTATATACATACACGTTTATATACATTTATATGATTCATAAGTTTTGATTTTATTAATTCCGCTGTTATTATTTTATACATCACATTATCAATCACATTGCGACCATTAATACTCATGACTTTTGCGGACGCAGCAAAAAAAGAATTTATTTCTCTCGAGAAATTCTAATTGAATGATTCATTATTTATGTATTTCCCACGCTTACTAATATAATTCTTATGAAAGTATTTCCTATATTTTCCTTGTTTTTTTTTTATTGGTTTTAAATTCGCAAAATTAACAAATTTAGCAATTTTTTCTTTCGTTTCTTTAATATAATATTTTTTTAATAACTACGTTTTGATCACTAATTTGTATTGCTATATTTAGACTATTTACTACGGCACAAAATAGCTTTTTGAATTAACTATTTTGGGTAAAACACTTGATCGTGATCAATATAATATTAATATTAATATATATAGTAATAGTAAAATTCCGGGATAACTATCATAGTAATAGTACAATAGCAAACTCCATATTAATATATAATAATAGTTATAATCTGGGACTGTTGCGGAAATAGTACAATATTTTATATGTAACCTCGATAAGTCGGTCACGAATGGATAAATATGATTTGCTGACTTATCGACTTGAGGACCCTGGCCATGTTATATTAGTATTAGATGTTTGTAAATTGCAGCGTCCAAAATCTTAAATGTACATTTAAAAGTCGTCTTTATTTCAAATGATTATTGTATATATGGATTTTGTATTTGCAATGGGATTGATCATTATACAGATTTATTTTTTAATTAAACACATTTAAAATGCTTTTAAACGTGTGAAAAAA